TTCCATATCCCATATCATTTGGCTTTTATTCGCTAATGCTCAAACAGGTGAAGAACACTACATATAGTGATTATCGAAAATTACTTTCTAAATTGCAAATATTCACAACACTTTTCCAAATACTAATTATCGTAATGATTTTGCTTCTTAAAGAAAAAGAAAATTTGTTACGATTTCGTTTACGACTCAGAGGCAATTTTTTTTTGGAAGTGTGCACAGATTTCACGACCCGAGAAAATCGAGATAAAAATACACAAGAAACACGATAATTGTCACTTTGTGAAAGTGGGCTGCATACTGTGCCGAGGACATTTTTTTTTCTGACAAAAAAAAAACAAGGATAAGGATTTCTCACGATGATGCGGTAATTCTCAAATGATTCGAAATAATATGCGCTCATCGACCATATAGAATATAAGTAATAGCAGTATTCTTCTCTTTAACCTTTCGGTCATTCATGTAAAGATACATATCGGCATGATTGGAGAAAGGTCGTTGAAATAATTTCCGCACAAAACCAGGAAGACCGTTTAAGACTTGTCAGTTTTTTTTATGATCAAAAACTGATAATTTTCAGGTGCTTTGTCTATATACACAAAAAAAATCTTCAAATTAGTAAAATTTAACTAAACAGTATTAATTATTTTTTTAAAAACAAACGTTTTTTTAGTCAAAATTATCGTAGTTCAAGTTTTTTTTCAGAGTAAAACTAACTTTCTAGTTGCGTGAGTAATTGTTCGATCTAAATTTGGGTCAACGAAAGGTCACACAGGCCCTTTCACTAAAATCTGAGATCCGGATTTGAAAAAGTTCATTGGTCCGTAACGAATTATTTATTTGATCCAGTTTAATACACCTAATTTTTCACTTAATTTTTCTCTTCTTTGAAAAGAAAAGCTTTTGAAAAAAAAATATATATATTGAAACCGTTATATCTCCGTATTTTTCGATTATAATATGGTTATTTATTCCAGAGATATGAGTGGAAAAAAAAGAATGAACAACACGATACGATTGTTAACAATTCTCCGAAGTCGCGGTGCACGAGTTAGTTACTCATATACTTGAGGTTCAATTGCTCATTTGAGATCATTTTATTGCTATAAGGCAATCAAAAGAATATGAAAAAAAAGAAAATAGAATATGCATCATATATAAAATATCTAAAATGAGAGACGTTTCCTGGAACGATAAAACCATTTCGATTACAACGATACTGTTTGGAATATATATATACTTTCCACAATATTTCATATTCCACGATATTTACAATTCAAATAAAACATGGCCGCGTCTTTTCCTAAGGATCAAAGCTTGAGAACGATTCAATACAGGAAGATATGTATTACACTGGAAGCACATCGTCAATCTTATAATATATGCAAAAGGGAAGACACAGAGTGTATATATAATATATATCTGAAGTTACTTTATTTTAATTCTCTTTTTGAGTATATAAGGTCTCTCTTTCTCATAACAAATTGTTATTCAATTCACGTGGCATGGCATTGCTCCTGTAGCATATATAATATTAGATATAGCGATGGCTATCGCGCAGTGATGTATGTACAAAGCGCATCAGAGGAGTGCATATACACACATTCGAGACGGAAAAAAATGCGCCACGGAGAGGAAATGAAAACGGGCAATCGTGGCAAGAGGTCGCGCGCGACAACGGTACAGACCAACATATGGTAAACAGAGAACCGATTTTCACATGGAGAAAAATGGAAAACAAAAAAATAAAGTAACTTTTACTACAAACCGTATAGAAAAAACCTCAACTGTCCGAAACTTCTGCGCATTTCTGTCAATCACTGTTAGAAATGTTCTGAATTTTCCGTCGAAAATTAAGATACAAAAGTATCATATAATTTTTAAAATATTGTTACTGAAAGCTAAAGTCAGTTAATTTTAACGAAAATTTGCCAAACTTTACTTAAAAATACAAAATTTTACTGAAAATTCTAAATAAGTAACTGATTTCTAAGTTGCGTAAAAAACAAGTAACTGTAACAGAAAATTTAAGACATTGTAACTGAAATTTTCGAAACAGTTTTGAAAAGAGAGAGATTTCCTGAAAATTACGAAACTGTAACAAAAATTCAAGTTACTTCAACAAAATTTGGATGCGCACAGCTATTTACGCGCAGCTTGGAAACGCCAAAAGAGTGCAATAACCGAAAATGCGCTGTGAAAATATAGTTGTGAAATTTGAGTGAGTAGTGTAAAATAGTTAAAAATATTAAAATTAATAAAAAATAGTAAAGAAAAGTGTTAAAAATCTATTCTTGGAATTATATACATCATACAATAACATATGTTATTATTTTTTCTGTCATATAAAGAATATATATAAATATAACCTATATTATACCAAAAACAAAAGGTCTAAAAAATTGAATTTACCCAAAATAAGATTTATTGGATTAATTTAATATCTTCTCAAAATTTTGTTACAGCTTTAGGATTTTTACTAATACGCACTTTAATTTGAATTATATAAAAGTAACTTAAGCATCACTGAAAATATTATCACAGAAAATTAAAAGGCATTAAAATAAGCTGCAACGCTTATTATTTTAATCCAATTTTGCTTATTTTAATACCAAAATGGATTAAAATTAACAAAATTGAATTAAAATAATAAGCGTTGCAGCTTATTTTAATGCCTTTTAATTTTCTGTGATTACAGTAATGAATTTTTAGTTACGTGATACTAAAATTTTATTCAGCAACAATCATGAGAATTACGAAACTGTAACAAAATTTTAAGAAACTTATTACTCTCTAAATCTGAATTATGTTTACTAATTTGAATTAGTGACTCACTTTTTGCTTTAGAATTAGTTAAATTTTACTAATTGTTAGTAAAAGTTACTATTAATTAGTAAAATTTCACTAATTCAGAAGCAAAAAGTGAGTCACTAAATCAAATTAGTAAACATTTTTACTAATTCAGATTTAGAGAGTACCGAAGTTTTATGCAGTTACATATGTTGCAGAAAATTACGAAACTGTAACAAAATTTTCATACACGCAACTGAATTTTTATGTTGTTTCGGAAAATTCCGAAATGGTAACAAAATTTTCGTAACACGTAACAGCGTAAAACTTCAGTTGCTATTTACAAAAAATTCCGACAGAAATTTCTAACAGTACTTTTGCTATACTTAAATATATAGTAAAAACTACTATTTCCGAAGTAAACTTTACTATTTTAGTATAGTAATAGTTGCCAGAAATGCTCACAACTTCCGGTCAATACAGATTTTACTTTGTAAATAGTAACTTTATATTTTTTTCCATTCATTTCTCGTTTTAGGTTTTAATTTTATTTTTAACGAGCGTAAATTTCATCGTAAAAAATATATATATATATATAAAGTTTCCGAGTTTTATTTCGAATTTCTTTTTACGATTCGTTTATATATCATTTTGTAAATGTTGAGGAATAATATAATTTGTTCAAAGTCCCGTTGCAAAGTTAATCTACAATAAAATCTACAGTTAACAGATATAAATTGAATTTTTACAATCTGCGCACAAAAAATTGTAACAAATTTCAATTCAAAAATCATTAATTTCTAATGAAACAATAAAAAAAAAGCATCCCATAAAAATTCTTATCAAATAAGATATATTCTAAATATAATGATTTTTTATGGGATATTAATGCGCCCCAAAAAAAGGATATTTATATATCTCTTTTCAAAAGAACTCTCTCATTCTTATACATTAAACACCGTGAATGCTGTCTTGACTTGAACCCATTATTCCTTCTAAATTAATAAATTGGTTAACGACGAGGAATTAAGGTTTGCTATATACGAGTCTCACGATCAAGCATATCGAAGGGTTCTGCAATGAGAGTTATATACAATAAGAAATAAAAAATCAATCGACGCTGGTGGATCATAAAAGCAAAAATAATATTCATGACTGAGGTATAGAAAACAAGAGGGGGGAGGGAGAGAGGGGGCGTTTGTTAAATGGTATAGTAAGCATACCGGACAGACTCGATCTTCGTACACGGCACGTCCATTACAGGAAACGGAAGCTCCACCCTAGCGGGCGACTGCCACTACATCTGCATTTGTTCCGAACACACTCAACGCGAACACGCTTGTTTCAAAGTGCGAAAGAATCGAGCGTGATTGTCATTAATGGAAGACATTTATATATATCACCACTTGAATTTTACCCTATTGTTCACCTGTTCAAATCTTCACGTAAAGTAATGAAAATATTCAAATTTTTATATAGAAATAAAACTATATCACTATAAACACAACCGAAATTTTAATCTAACATCTTAATCTCAACATCAGAAGAAGTGATTACAAAATAGAAATTGTTGACACGAGGTCAATGTGTCAAGTGAGAATAAAGAGAAAAAAAAAATAATGTCAATAATTGTTTGGTAATATGCGAATATAGATAAGTGGTTGGAATGATGATTGGCTGACTTGAGACACCGTCAAGAATCTTCAAAGAATAAATGTACAAAGAGTAAACAAAAGCCTTGAAATGACCCAAGGTCTAAAGTGTCATACATCGCAAGAGGTATATATACACACAAACATTATATCATAAGTATTTGGGTATAACATTATACCTTCATCAATGAACACACCCACGCGACATGATGGCGACATGTCGATAGGTCGTTAGCACACTGGGTATCTATGTTCGATTAGTAAACGGGCGGGAAATGCAATGAAATTGGGCGCAAGGCCATTCGCATTCCGTTTCCGTGCCAGACTCGATGGCAGTATAGTAGCGTTCGTTGACCGTTCCTGGCACGATTGTCGAGCTTTCACCCACCAATTTCTATAATACCGACTCTATTTTCCCTTTGCACTATTGCTAATTGATTTATTTATACAAAAAAAAAGCTTTCCTTTGAAGCGCTAATTATATCTAATAACAACTAATGATTTTTATAGGTTTATGCGCCCCAATAAATTCAAGGAAATAAATATATTAAAATAACTCACCCTAGAGTCACTTGAAGTAGAACACTCGTAAAAAGGCAGATCTCAATCCGTAACTGAAAAGAATCAGAAATTTAAATAGTATTCAGTTATTTGTTATTTATTTGGAGTTTTCTAAGAAACTAAGGTTTATTTCAGCCAAGGTAAATATTTATACCCAACAATATAAAATCAGAAAATAAACACTAATATTGATCGGTTGCAAATTTTAAACTTCATTGAATTATTAGGTCACAATCTGCACACTTTATGAACTCAATCATTAATTCTTCAAGGGAGAAAATATATTTTCAAGAATCGGATTCTTGAACCCGCATATATATTTTAATTCAAATTTGTCATGATTTCTTGGGCCTTTTGATTCATATAACCACCTACATATTACGTGTTCACATTTTCACCAAGAGAACTCTAAATTCCAGTTACCAGAAGTTTAGGGTTCGTGCAGAGGTTAAAAGCTACCATTTTAATCTAACTAAACTTTTCACATCATAATCAAACTGCAATTGAAACATAATTTAATTTTTCTCAATTTAAAAAAAAAACACACCTATTCTAGTTACAATTTTCTTTACATGTTTAGTTTTATTAAACTTTTTGCAATTGTTCATTCAAGTATAAAATGTAGATATTATAGAGGTGAGTATAAAAATAAAAATGCTGAGAAACTTTCATATATAGAACGCTTTGTACAAAGGATTTACTTCATTATTTGCAGACAGCGTTCCTTTTGTCCCGGAAACCCATCGATATTTCTCACTTCATCCTCACAAGCGGTTAAGATCGTCATCTCATCGATTTAACACCAGAAAACGAGGGCAGAACCGCAAAGCGGAAGATTACAAGGCTTTTGGTTCGAGCGACGATACTCAGAAGGGCGAGAGCAAAAAGAAAATTAAGTTGTTTATTAAACCGGAATTCGATCTTTTTTATGAATTGCAGCATACTAAAGAAAAATTACAAGTGTTATTCAAATAGAGATTTCTACATAAAAAAAAAATTAACAGATCTTAGAAAAAGTTTGCAAAACATCGTTTCGACTCGAAATATTATTTTCAACTTTTGCTTCCGGTGCATTCGAAATACTGGAGTTATTGCAAAGGGGACAAGATACACAATCTGATTCATTGAAAAAGATTATACTCTCGTGACGAATTGATATACAATGCCCATATATGAGCAATGTATCGATATTTCTAGTTGAAAATACTCTTATATATGAAATTTCACAAAAATAACGAAATTGTCATAATGTTCAACAAACCATTCTCCCTCACCCTCTGTTCTAGTTTTTCATCCCCTCCAAATCCAGAATCAACAATCCATCATTTTTATTGCATCCATTAATTCACACTATTAAGATATATTCCAAAAGTAAACTTGAATTTCCACCCTCTTATTATCTGTCATATAAACGTGATGAGAATATAGAAATTTTTTCCTCGAAACAAAAAAAAAAACATTGATAATTTGATTTGTAAATTCCTGATTAATTTAAAATAAGAGCACGTGCGTTGTGGATATGCATCTGAGATTCTTTTGCATATATATATATATACAAGACCAATTAGCCGTTCTAGCACTAAGAAGAACTGTATATACGAGTCCAGTTACTCGTATGGTAAAAGAGCCATTGTTCCCATAGGGATTAACGAAACTTCAAAAGACCCAGTCATTCACGATCGACTAATTACATTCACACCTCCTTCCTCCTTCCTCTCTCATCACCCCCAACAACCTTCTAAAAGTTCTCTCGACCTCTTTTCTTTTTTTTAACTTAAATCAAGTTGAATGCCTCATCTGAAAAACTCCGATGTGCACTTTTCTTTTTTCTTTTTTTTTTTTTTTTTTAATGCAAAAGGGTTTTAAAGCTAAGCTTGAGGCGTGCACTTTTAAATTAGCAATGAATGACTTACTGAAAGCTTCTTCTTTTCGAAAACTTTTCAGCTACTTTAACGACAAACATTTTCACTAGATTTTCAAAGTTCTCATAAAATGTCGGCTTCATTTTAAAATAAGTTTTACAATGAAAACTTAATTCTCTTTGGCTGCTAATAGTGAAATTAGTTTAAATATAGTTAGAAATTTAGTTTAAGGGTGATTCTCTCAAAAAGAACAAATTATTTGTGCACAATTTTTGGACCAGGTTTTTGTTAAAAAATAATAACATTAATTTCAATTAATAAACATTCTCCTAGCCATACGATAAAATTCAACAAATTTTTATGGGATCACTAACGAAAATTTCAAAAAAATGTCAAACAACTGAATTATTGAATGAAAACTAGTGTTAAAACTCCATTCCGTAACATCAGTTTTTATTCAATATTTCAGTTATTTTACCTTTTTTTAAAATTTTCTTTAGTGGTCCGATTGAAAATTGTTAAATCCTAACGTATGGCTGACAGAATTTTAAATAATTTCAATTAATTTTCATATTTTTTAACAAAATATCTTAAAAGCGTAATTTGTCCTTTTTGAGAGAATCACCCTTAAATGTTTCAAACTTTGTAAGTAAACAAAAAAAAACCTTAAAATATTTTAAGGGCGAAATGGGCTCAACTAAATACTGATCTAATTAAGTTTAAGATTAAAATAATAAAAATATAATTAATAGAGCCAGAAGTTGAATATAAAAAGTCTTTAATCTAGATTTAAAATCTGTTCTGTATTTAAAGATCCTTGTGATTTAAATATTTATATCAAGATGATGATTTTAGTGTCACAAAACTCGCATTAACTGTATACGACTTAATTATGCCAAAGGTATATATATATATAATAAAATGTCTACGGTTTGCCATTGTCTTAACGTTCGTTCACGTCCTACTGCCCTTAAGGCTCACTTGTAAAGACGTCCCAAGAGTGTTAAGAGAACCAGCTCTTTATCCTCTCTCCTTCTAAAATCCGCAGAAGATCTTTATTACACACTCCAAATACTTGGATATATCTTTAGGAAATTTGAAAACTTTTCTGATAGTAACATTTCTTAGTATACATATATATAACACAATATTTTGTGAAAACTTTTTTTATTTCATGTCTCTAAATAGGTTCTTTTTTCTCTATGTCTACAACAAAAAGAATATTTTCATTTTTTTTTTTATCCACTTGGCTTATTTTCCTTACTGCCCTAATTCCCCACGTTTTCAACGCATTCTTCTTTTTCTCCCCTTTTAGCTCCTCTCATCCGTATTGTGCAACATTTCACATATATTACCTATTTATCAATTTCATAGAGATTCGTTTAATTTTTGCCACTTTTTCAATTATTAAAAGTTTATAATTAATACGCCAAAAATGACATACCTTATATATTAATTGATAATCTCTACGGATTAGGTATTTTTTTTTTCTGAGACAAGAAATAATGGGAAACGATAAGGGCCGAGTGAAATGCTAATGAGATGAAATTATACAACATTAAGATGAATCAAAGGCAGTTAAGATGCATTATTTAGGATTTAAAATAGCAATTTGTTGGTTGCGCTGAGAAAGAAAGTAGGAATGAAATAACCGTTAATGCAAATGACGTCATATTGTACTGGCTGGTGTTGTTATTCCAGGTCAACACGAAATTATACAAAGGCTCGAGGGAACCAATTAAGTTCCAATTAACAAAATACAGACTTGATTCGTTTGGTATAAATCGATATTGCACGTGACGCCTCAACATCAAATGATCTTTATACGATTGTTCGGAACAACGATTGGAAACCAAAATCAGATCACGTAACTATAACCTTCGATATGGTGAATATCCTTTAGGGCCACCAACTAATCCCTCGAGTGTCGTACTATTTTGGATATATAGGTATTTCCGTTATATATATGTCTCTAACGGGTCTCATTACACCAGGAAAATCAGAATTCAGATCTATTTTTTTTTTCAAAAGGTTATTAATATACAATTTTATGATTCAAATAATCGATTTACTTGAACTATAAATTTTCTATTTTTCTTCTATAGAAAGATAATTCCAATATATTCATGAAACAGTTTTGAAATTAGAGAACTCAATATGGAGAATAACAACTATAAGGGAAGACGAGAAGTGTGTCTAGAAAATTGGAAAACTTTCCGAAAGTTAGTCTCATCAAAAGTCCAAGAATCGATTGAGAAGAACATTGAGAATCAAGCAATTTCGTACAGTTGAGAGAATGAGACCAAAAAAAACTTGTAACATAAACACACTAAAAAAAAAGTAGAATTTTTACCCTAAAATCGGTATAAAAATTAACTGCAACAAATTTTACCATCGTTGAGGGCGCCACTGTCTATGTGAATTTGCATTGGTTAAAATTACCCGCGCAACAAAATTTATCCAGTGTTTTTTCTGTGAACAAAATTCCAGTTTGGAAAATCAAACTTAAACTATATTTTTTTCTACATAACAATGAGGATCACAGAAAAAAGAAGAATCAAATATTTGCCCTTGCAATTAAACGAATCATCAATGTATATAATTAAAGAAAATACCGCTCCACTAAGGAATTAATAGCTAATAGGAAATAATGACTTCACGTGTTACTTAACGAATTATCAAGGATACTTTAGAAAAGAGAGCCAAGAGTAATAAAATATCACTCTATAGAGAGACATTTTTACCGAGCACTTTTTACAAGAGGCCAAATGCCATAAAAAAAAGTCAAGCGGTCGCTTTTTAAAAGCACAAAGTATATATAATTTTAAAGATAAAATATTTCCTGTTAACAATATATATATCCAATGGTTCAACAGAAACATTACTCTAGGTAAAAAGTTATATTTATTTTTCTTAATTCAGATCGAAATTTTTTTTTTTATTTTATCCCAAGTTCCTGCGTATAATTATATTCCAATATTGTCATCTTATTTTCCTCTCACGATTGTCTCTAATAATAAGGTTCAATCTAAAAAAAAATGTGCCGTATAAATAAAATTATATTTCTTTAAACAAAAAAAATGACAAAATTTTAGCTTACTTCAGAACCAAGAACCAGATTACTTTTTCAATTCTGAGATCAGAAATACTAACGAAAATTACAAATATTTTTTAATGAAATTTCACAAAAA